GTGAACGGTCATAAGCTTCATAGAGTGAATGCCTGTAATGAAAACTCCTTGTAACTTGGAAGGGGTAGTTTCGTAAAATATTAAAGAATCTATGTAAAATAGTGTTTAAACTAGAACATGTAAAATAGCATCAAAAGAGAATTTCAAAATAAATTTACAATTTTTTTTAGTGATTTTGTATGGAGAATGAGGTTTAAAACATAATAAAATATTAAAATAGATGCATATAACAAGCAATATGAATAACATAAATGTTTGTGATTTATCATATAATGACCATGGCATCAACATGAACTTAAATTTTGTAATTTAACATTTAATGACCATGTCATCAAAGATATACTTTTTGCTTTCTGTTTCTAACAAAAATATATTGCTTATTGTTGCGTTTATAAGACCATGACATGTGACCTAATGGCAAGTAAAAGCAAATTGTTTTTTATAAACGCAATAATAACATCTTTCTTCTATTTCTTGCTACTAATATAGATAATGTATTTTATTTTATTTCGATAATAGCAACTTACTTATATTTCATTAGACGTTTTAAAAAATAAAACATTTATCTTAAAGACATTTGTAAGTTGCCTAAAAATGAGAAAAATAAGTTATTAATGCAACTTTATAGTTTTCTTGACAAATTGAAAACAATGTTACAGGCTATGTAAAGAACAAACCAAATATATTGTTATTATTATGCGTTTTAAGTTAAACAACAATAAAACGTTACTTTTTCTATTTTCTAAATAGCGATATACATTGTCTCTCGTTTATCCAGACTAAGACATAAAAAGTATTTTCTATATGGCGTGTGTCATGACCTATGTTCCTTTTTCTTCCAGATAGATTTTTTTTCTTTTGTAAATATAATGTATGTACATATTAAAGGGTTTTAAGCATTGCAGTACAACCAAGTTTGGCAAATTTACACATTTAGTTGCTCATGTTTTTTTGTGCTCAATTGATCCTTAACGTTAGGAAATACCGGCTAATTAAGGGTTTAGGGGAAGTTATATCCGGTTTATGGGTCACACACTGACATGTCTTGACATACGTGGACTTATACATGACCACGCCACTATATACACTAGCATACCTTCCTTAAATGGAACGCTTAATCGAACCACATGTGATACGTTGTTACCCCAAATTAGGTTGTTCCCTCCCTCCCGATACCCTCTTCTCAATAGTTAAACCGAAAGGGCTGCATGGATTGATAACAACGTAACTCGATGATTTTTGAACTGCAAAAATTCCTTGGTGAGTATTACTTCTGTTTACTTACATTCGATTCGCTATTGGTAGATGGAAATGTACACATTTTCTCTAATTGTATTCTTCCTTTTTAATCAGTTAAAGGTCCAAAATGTAAATTTTTTCTGTGGAAAGACGATGAAATGTGTGACATCTTCAAATTCACGGTCATTTTAAAAATTTTATTTATGCTTATTTGAAAATTAGAGTATCTTTTTTAAAGAATAATACTTCGGAATTTATTCCTAGTAAAACATGATAATTATGTTATCAAATAATTTCCGAAGAAATGTATTTTGTTTATATCAAAACATTGGGATGCCATCATCAATATAGAAACATAAGCATAAATAGACCTTACATTTATTTACACTAATGATTTACATTTCCTTTAATCTCTCAGTGTAATGTAGTTCGTATCGATACCTTTGATACAAATAAACTGAGTGGATCCAGTTGGAAAACCTGGTGAATACATATGGTTTTCAACCCACAATAATATAATTATTATGTCTAATCATCAAACCATTAACCCAACTTCCCACCCCCATTATCTTCTTTATTTTTAAGGATCTACCCTAATAATCATCTATTCTTCCTTCATTCATTCCCAAGGATTGTCCTAAGGAATAGACACGAAGTCCATCGCTACCAGGATCTATTCAACAGGAACTAAGTCCATAGCTATTGATGTTTTACTAAGTCCATAGTTGTCAATGTACATCTATAGGGCACTAAATCCATAGATGTCGACGTTCTTTTGTAAGGCACTAAGTCCATAGATGTCAATGTTCATTTCTAAGGAACTAAATCCATAGTTGTCGGGGTTTGTCTATTTAACACTAAGTCCATAGTTGCCAATGTTCATCTATATCATCTTTTATCTACCCGTCTTTACCCATCATAATTATAGATATAAAATATATATACAATTTAAATCAAATAAAAACATGTATATTTTGCTCTTCTAGCATAGGTATCATGAACATAGATAATATGCACACATAACACGTAATTTATATTAAATACTTCATATCTATGAGTAAGATGAAAGTAAAAATGCACTCACTTGTTAAAGTGATGATTCCAAACTCGGGCAACGCTTCACTTCTAACAATTCTATTTTCCTTCGGCGAAACCTAGTGTCATTGCTGCTAGATTTTAGTCTAATATTTATTGCGACTATTTACGAGCGATGTTGTCTTAGTAGTGTTTAAACACTATTTTTCAACCACTATGTAAAGTCAGGGGCTAGACATGAAACACCGGAGGGCATGACCATTTTGGCATTATAGCACTTCTGAAATCCAACAACCCTATGCGGCCCTTCAAACCAGATTCCCCGTACTGCGAGTAGTTAAAAGATATTATAATAACACTTTGTATTTTATATTTTATAACATATTTATTGTTTATAAGTTCATTAATAATGATATTGAACTTAAACATAAGTTATACTTAAAGAAGGGTATGTTTAACTCACTTAAAATGGAGTTTAGAGAAGAACCGGGCTCTGCACGGGCAAAACTTCTGAGCCGAAAGCTCTTCTTCTTGGAGTGTTTGGGTGCTCTGGGACTTGCTACTAACTCTTAGGAAAGGCTATAGAAAATCCTTGAGGATTTGGGGGTGTTTGGGAAAGAGTTGGTTGAAGAGATGTGAGAAAAAGAGTGAAAACGCCTTCTATTTATATGCTGCCAGCACCGAGTATGTTGAGTGTAATGGGTTTTTAAGGGTTATGATGAGCATACTTAAAATTATGTTGGGCTTAATGTGCCGTGTGTCATGATCTCGTGCAAATTTGTGGGGAAGAAGGTGGGGCTCAGATTGCGCCATGTGTCACTCGCTGGTTACTCCAAAAATTAATTATCTTCTAAAATCTGTAACTTTCGCATACAAGCTCCATTTTTGACGTTCTTGATATCCACGCATAGGTATTGATGGGATCTAGAACTTTTGTTTAGAATCCATTGGCTAAATATGACTTTATTTTTAAATTTATATTTTAACAGACATAGACATATAAAGTTTGTTAAATATTCATAACTTTGTCATCCGATGTCCATTTTCTACTGTATTTATAACATTGAGCTCCTATTAACGAGATCTTCAATTCTCGTTTGGATTGTGTTGGCTAAAAATCGGTTGATCTATAATTCGAATTTTGGGTTGTGCACTACTATGCTAAATCTTAGAAAAATCATAACTTCTTCATACAAAGTCAGATTTTTGGATGTTATTTGTATGCACGCTCTTGGTTTAACTCATACTATGACTTTCGTTTAGATCGCTAAGGAAAAAAAGTATTTATCACAAACTCACGTTTTACGATTCCCGATGTCGTGTCGGTTTTGTCGTCAAACTTCGACAGGTCATAACTTCTTCATTATAACCCGGATTTCAGCATTCTTTGTACGTACAAAAACCTTGTGACATATAATATAACTTGGTTAAGATTATTCATTCTAAATAATATTCTATCAAAAAGTCATTTGTGACGTTTATTGCCTCTAAATTGACTACCCCGAATCTGCAGGCATTACAAAACGGAGGAGGGGTATTACAAAGACCATCTCCGTAAGATGAGGTTTCAGCTATGCATAAAGGAAGACTACATGGGGGCCGCGAAGGCTCATTAAAAATTAGTTAAGTTGTAGCAAGATAGGGGAAGGTGAGAAGGAATTTTTTGAGAGAGAGTTGATGGAGCTGAAGAAGAAAGACACTCTGATGAAGACTTATCAGGGAACTGCTAAGTGGTTGATCCTTTTTTTAGTCATTGCAATCATTGGGATGGGGTTGAAGTGTGCTTGAAGTGTGGTTGATCATATGCTAGTACTGATGGTTGATGATACATTATTCCAAGCTGTCTTTTGGTTAGTGTATATGTAGATGATCATCACAACAGAATGTTATTTGGGTTTTGGATGAATGGGTACATTATCAGGGTAGGTAAATGATATGGTAGATATAGTTTTGGGATAACATTATTGCTAACAACTTTTGTATGTAGACTGTATGTATGAAAGATTCCATGAGTGACTAAATAACAATGTTAATCGTTGAAAAACTTATATTCATTTCTTTTGCATTATTAATTAGATTGTAAGAACCACTTGGTCTGTACCATTATATACTTAATGATATGTATGTTGTCTATCTAAAATTGAACTATGGGAACCACATTATCAGGAATATGTACCACACTTGGTCCATTTAAAATTGAATTGAGTTCAATGCAGTGGTCTCTTGAGTGCAAATTGTCAAAAAGGATAGAATCTGTGACAATTTAAATTTAGCTCCATGTGGTCGAAAATTTAGAGTTATCTACATATGTCATTGCCATGTATTCTAAAAATATAAGTCCTTCCCATGAATACAACTTAATAACAAGCAACCAACTTAATAACATCACAACAAATAACTAAAAATAACAACTAACTTACTAACAAACAACCAACTTCACATAACATAGCTTCATACAAACAGCCAAGTTCACGCACGTGAAACTTAAAGTACATAGACTCAAAGAAAGGAAATAACGTACTTTCATACTAAATACCAAGTTCTAGATTAACATCAGTAATAATTAAAATGCATCTTAAATTAATCTATAACAAGAGCTTTTGATTTAGAATTTTTAGGTGCATCTTCATCACCAACTCTCTTGGCCAACTTCAACTTGACAATCCTTTCACATTTTTCCTTATGATTTTATTGAACTCGGTTGTAATTGGTCTTTCCCTCACCCCCTATTGCACATGCACCTCATTAACAACCACATTGTCTTGTCCATTTCCTGGTTGACTAGGTTCTCCATTTCCTAATACATAAAAATCCATAGGTGTGAGTTCCACCTCATCATGGTCTTTTCCATCATTATGAGCTCCTTCACCATAATCATTGACTTCATCACGACCATGATTGATTGTATCACCATCATCATTAACTACATCACCACCATCATTGACTGCATCACCACCCTCATTGACTTTAGTACCATAATCAATCACCTATATCATACAATATTAGCAAAAAACCAAGGACACAACAAAAAATCTAGTTAATTATTAACCAGTTTTCTTTTTCTTGTGATATTGATTTTAGGAGGCCTTTCAGTAGTACAAGCTCTTTTATTGTGTCCTTCAACCTTATAAAGGCTACATTTTATTTCTTTCTAGCCTTGGATACCCTCTATTGTTTTTTTTTTTTGTGTTTGGGTACTTTTCTTTGGTTTGTTATTTGACTTGTTTTCTAGTTGCATCCTTTTTCCTTTTAATTGTAGGTCTCCTAGGCATAATTCTATGAACAAGAGGTAAAGGTGGTTTGTATAAATTTGTTGGCCACAAGTTACTTCCATTTATAGGTGTGAACCTATACTTGTATGCCTTGATGTAGGTGATGCTACCAAATATTTTGTCAACATATAACTCTACATCCTTATTTAGAAAACTAATTGCTGCAACAGAATGAACACAACCAATTTCGTTGAGTTGACATAGCCTACATGAGAAATTTTTTCTTTCAATATCTACCTCATAACCATATCTAGTTCCTCTTACTTCAAACTTATTTAACTCACTAGGTGTTAATGTTATTTAATAACTCTCTAATTGTTAGGAAAATGTGATTGCTCCATCCTTGGCCCTTGGCTTTCATGTTGAACACCCAATCGATCTTATATGTAACGCTTGCAGATTCGTGCTAGTCAATTTACAGACAATGAGCATCAAAAATGACTTTTTGATGGAAGATTATTTAGAAGGAGTAATATTAACCATGTTACAGTATATGCCACAAGGGTTCTGTACATATAAAGAACGCGAAAATCCAAGTTATAACGAAAAAGTTATGGCCCATCGAACTTTTACGGCAAAACCGGCACGACACCGCATAACGTAAAAAGTGAATTTTTGATAAACTACTTTTTAGCCTTATAGGTCTAAATGAATGTTTTAGTACTCGTAAATACCAACACGTTGATATAAATAACATCGAGAATAGAGCTCGTATGTTAAAGATGTTGACAAAACTTAGTCTATACTTTTTAAGCGCGACGAATTTGATATAGTTTTGTAAATACGAGATAGAATGAGAATTAGCCGACGGAGTGTAAATGAAAGTTGTAGTACTCGTAAATACGAACGTGTTGATATAAAGCATGTAGAAAGCGGAGATCGTACGCGGAAGATACATACGAAACTTAAAATCCCTATAAATAAAGGATGAATCCTTCATATTTTCTTCACACCATAAGCCTTTCTTTCTCTGAAACTTTTCTCTAACTCCCCCAAACCCCCCAAATCCTAGGGTGCCTCCCTAGCACGAGAAGAAAGCCCTAGAGCTCCCAACGACTTCGAGAAAAAGAGATTTTCGGCTCGGAAACATTGCTCCAGCGAAGCCCATTTTTAATAAAATCCACTGTAAGTGAGCTACGCCTACCCTATTTTGAATATAGCTTATATTTAAATATAATATAATTATTATTAACCTATAAATAAGATTTATCAGTGATTCAAAGTCGTTATACTGATTGATCTAGTTACGGAAATGATATCTAGGCTGCGATTTAGTGAGGTGTTTAAAGTGAGATTTCCAAACAGTATACTTTGTATGCCAAATGGACCCTACCTCCGATATAATCCTACCTAACTGTTCCTTACTTGATAGATTATGAATTAGACTTGAGTTAATGATGAATCTAGACTAATAATTAGTCGCAATAAAGATTAGACTAAAAACTTAGTGATAATAATGCTAGGTTTCGTCGAAAGAAAAATAGAATCGTTAGAAGTGAAGCGTTGCCCGATTTTGGAATCATCACTTTAACAAGAGAGTGCATGCTTACTTTCATCTTACACATAGATACAAAGTACTTGATATAAATTACTTATTGTGATTGCATAGTTACTTTCATCTTACACATAGATATGAAGTAATTCATATAAATTACGTGCTATGTGTGTATACTATCTGAATATTTGTTGTCTATGTTGGATGAAACATTTTATACATGTTTTAAATGATCTAAATTATATATGTATTATATATATATATATATATATATATATATATATATATATATATATATATATATATAATGTATTGGGTAAAACATGGGTAGATTAGAGGTGAGATAAATGATCAGCGATGAATAATGAGATAAATGATGAGCGATGATATATGAGTGATAAAATATGGTGCGAAGCGATGAGCCAAAATGATGAGCCAAAGAGATGAGCCAAAAAGATGAGCTAAACGATGAGCCAAGCGATGACCAAAGTGATGGCCCCGTCATCTAGTAGAGTATGGATGACAACCACAAACTATTCTAGATAGTCTACTAGAACACTAGCAGGCTCGCAACTTGTAGGTGTTGTGAACGATGTGTTCACCCGGTGTACTCTAAAAACCCATTGACAGGTATTACGAGTGGACTCCCGAAAATGATACTGTCAATAAATGATATAAACCGGGGCGACTATGCAGACTTAGGTGCTGTTTGTTTTTTTGGAAAAAACCTCTTCAAACCTCTTACTGCTGCGCGGCGCAGCACACGCGCAACACTTTTCATCTCGCAGCTGTTTGTTTTTTAGAAGTCTTTTGAGTCAAAAACCTCTACGCAGGCTCTGGTTGGCGCAACACTTGTACTGCCTCTTCTAACCTCTTCCAACCTCTTTTTCTTCTTTTTTTATTGCTGAAATTTTGATTATATGTTATTAAAATTTTATTTTACATTTTTTTTCCGTTTTTTTTTTCCGTTTATTCTTATTGAATTTATTTTTTATTTTTTTATATTCAATAATGATAATGTCTTGATGAAATATCATTATTTTTTTTACTAAAAATATCTTTGTTTTTTGTTGAAATATCATTCTTTTTTACTGAAATATCATTAATTTTTACTGAAATGTTATACATTATTAAATTTTACGTATTAAAAAGCTATTTTCGGTTTATAAAATTAGTTTATTTTAAATTTTTAATATCTGCAACAGTATGCAGATGTTAAAAAAACAAACACGCTTCTTATTATAGTCTGCAGCCGTTTGGTCCACCTCTTCTACTGCAGAGGGTTGCAGAGGTGGTCCGCAGACTTCATAAATTTTTGCTTCAGAAAATCAAACAGCACCTTAGTGTCGATTCCTTACGATACTCATTAGGAATGAATGAACGAGGAATAGTTGAATCTTTGGGTAGATCCTTAAGAGTAAAGAAGATAATGGGGAAACTTAATTGGGTTGGTTGTTTGATGTTTAACATAATAATTATATTATTGTGGGTTGAATACCCTATGTACTCACCAGGTTTCCCAACCTGGCCCACTCAAGCTTATTTGTATCACAGGTGTCAATATGTGGGTACTTTACGTTGAGGGATTTAAAAGAGATGTAGATCACTAGTGTAAATGAATGTAAGTTTTGTTTATGCTTATGTTTCTGTATTGACGATGACATCCCAAATGTTTTAAAATGGATAAAAAAACATTTGTTCGGAAATTTTTTGATAACATATTTATCATGTTATTCTAGGAACAAATTCTGCAACATTTTTATTAAAAGAGGTACTCTGATTTTTATAAAGCATAAACAAAAATCGGTCTTTTCTGGCCGTGAAAATGGGGATGTCACAGTTCGTATCATCGCAGTAGTTTAAGTGAACTAGGAATAAGGATTTATTTCTAGACTTAAACATAGAATGTTAAGCGATGATCGTGAGGAGTGTGTCTAATATATTTTAGGAAGTACATCTGAATAGACACAAACACTAGCTTAATCAGGGAAGATACCTAAAACACGTTTATGTGATAAATGATTTGTGATGCTTTATGTTATTGTTTCATCGGATCTATGGTCTGTTTCGGACCATATCTGGAAATCTTAAGTGTTCAGATTTTTAAACGTTTAATTACGGTATTAGAACTGGCATATAACTTTTCATAGTAATTAGGAGGATTACACATCTAAACCTTCTCTATCTATATTCTCATTTTAATACACCAAACGCCTGCTTGGGTATATATAGAATGTCATGATAAAGACTCATAGCATACTCATCAAATGGAGGAAATTAGAAGGCTTACGATAGTGAAGGATACCTATCGGAAGATATCGTAAGAGTGATATATTGCCTTTAGAATGCATCTAAATAGGTAACAACTCCAGTACGGGAGAAGTACACTTTCGATTGGCCAAAAGAAATAATTTTTGGTATAATATATGAAGTTATCCCATCGTCTAACATTTCCATCACCAACCGAGTTAAAGCAGGATTGATGATTGAAGATACGCATGGAAGAAGTCCTAATAGAGTCTAAGGAAAATTATATGATTGTTTGGACACATTTTTATGTGTTTAATTTTTTTTATGATAATAATTTGGAGAACTACGAGACAATACTTAGGACGAGTATGAGTACGTGTGAATGGTAGTATAGGCCTATACTACCAGAAGCACATGACTCACACTTGGATCAGGGAAAGTCACAAGGTTACCAAAGAGCTAGTAATTGATTCTGTTTTGTTCATGTATATCATAACCATCATTTTGGTAATGAGTAAAAAGATGATTGTTGTTCTGACTCAAGTGGTCATACAAAATCGAGTCCGACTAAGATGAGTATGTTAAATTGTTTAGAGAAAAAAGTTCGATGTCGCGTTTGACTTAAGACAAAATATTGAAATAAAGGATAAACGAAGCGATCAGTAGAAGTATCGCGATTGTTGTTAAGTAATTAGATTGTAGTTAGAAGTGCTATATGCTAGAATGTGATTATATCACATTAGAACATGAAGGAAGGTATCGTCTGTTCTGGAATTTGACTCTAAAAGACCTGAGTCTAAGCGATGCATAATACGATGAGAGGTCATTAGAACATGACCCATTAGCCCATGGTCATAGTCAAAGAACTTATATTAAGTTTGTTAAGAAGAAGAAGTATCCAATAAGGAATCGAGATTGTGATTCGAAGGTCATGATTGGAAGACTAACGTGAGATAGGGAGTGGGTGCACGATCGAGTATTGCTTGTAGTTAATATTACTAAGAGATAGATACTGATTCGAAGGGATATAGAAGTTACAATTATTACCTAGGATGAAGATATAACGTATGGAGTCATTATACAAGCCTTGTTTTGTTGATGATTCCAGGACATAATCATCCTAAGGGGGAGATAATTGTAACGCCCGTAGATTCGGGCTAGTCAATTTACAGACAATAAGCATCAAAAATGACTTTTTGATAGAAGATTATTTAGAAGTATTAATCTTAACCAAGTTATAGTATATGACACAAGGGTTCAATACATATAAAGAACGCCGAAATCTGAGTTATAACGAAGAAGTTATGGTCCGTCGAACTTTTACGGTAAAACCGGCACGATACCACGTAACATAAAAAGTGAATTTTTGATAAACTACTTTTTAGCCTTAGAGGTCTAAATGAAAGTTTCAGTACTCGTAAATACCGATGCATTGATATAAATAACATTGAGAATAGAGCTCGTCTGTTAAAGATACGGACGGAACTTAGTCTCTACTCTTTAAGCGCGACAAATTCCATACAGTTTTGTAAATATGAGATAGAATGAGATTTAGCTGATGGGGTCTAAATGAAAGTTGTATTAATTGTAAATATCAACTCGTGGATATAAAGAACGTAGCAAATGGAGCTCGTACGCGGAAGATACGGACAAAACTTAGGGGCTACTCTACGATAAAATTCCTATAAATAAAGGATGAATCCTTCATATTTTCTTCACACCATAATCCTTTCTTTCTCTCTCTCTATAACTTCTCTCTAACTCCCCCAAACCCCCCAAAGCCTAGGGTACCTCCCTAGCACGAGAAGGAAGCTCCAGAGCTCCCGACGGCCTCAAGAAAAAGAGATTTTTAGCTAGGAAACATTGCTCTACCAAAGCCTCGTTTTTAATAAAACCCACTGTAAGTGAGCTACGCCTACCCTATTTTGAATATATATTATATCGAAATATAATATCATTATTATAAACCTATAAATAAGATTTATCAGTGATTCAAAGTCGTTATATTGATTGATCTACTTACGGGAATGATGTTTAGGTTGCAATTTAGTGAGGTGTTTAAAGTGGGATTTCCAAACAGTATACTTCATATGCCAAACGGACCTTACTTCCGATATGATATTACATGATTGTTCCTTACTTGATAGACCATGAAGTAGACTTTGAGTGAATAATGAATCTAGACTAACGATTAGTCACAATAAAGATTAGACTAAAAACTTTGTGATAATTATGCTAGGTTTCGTCGAAAGAAAAATAGAATCGTTAGAAGCGAAGCGCTGCCCAAGTTTGGAATCATCACTTTAACAAGTGAATGCATGCTTACTTTCATCTTACGTATAGATACGAAGTATTTAATATAAATTACGTGTTGTGAGTGCATAGTTACTTTCATCTTACTCATAAACATGAAGTATTTTATATAAATTACGTGCTATGTGTGTATACTATCTAAATACTTGTTGTCTATGTTGGATGAAACGTTTTATACATGTTTTAAATGATCTAAATTGTATATGTATTTTATATCTACAAAATGTGTTGGGTAATACATGGGTAGATTAGAGGTGAGATAAATGATGAGAGATAAAAGATTAGATAAATGATAAGCGATGAAAGATGAGATGAATGATGAGCGACGATATATGAGTGATAAAATATGGTGCGAAGCGATGGCCTAAGCGATGATCCATAGCGATGAGACAAAAAGATGAGCCAAAGCGATTAGCCAAAATGATGAGCCAAAACGATAAGCCAAACGATGAACCAAGTGATGACCCCGTCATCTAGGAGAGTATGGATGAAAACCACGAACTATTCTAGACAGTCTAGTGGAGCACTAGTAGGCTCGCAACCTATAGGTGTTGTTAATGATGTGTTCACCCCGTGTACTCTAAAAACCCATTGAGAAGCATTACGAGTGGACTTTTGAAAACGATACTGTCAATAAACAAGATAAACCCTAGCGACTATGCATACTTAGTGTCGTTTACTTAGGATACTCCTTAGAATGAATGAACGAGGAATAGCTGAATCTTTGGGTAGATCCTTAAGAGTAAAGAAGATAATGGGGAAGGTTAATTGGGTTGGTTGTTTGATGTTTAACATAATAATTATATTATTGTGGGTTGAATACCCTTTGTACTCACCAGGTTTCCCAACCTGGCCAACTCAAGCTTATTTGTATCACAGGTGTCGATATGAGGATACTTTACGCTGAGGGATTTAAAATAGATGTAGATCCCTAGTGTAAATGAATGTAAGTTTTGTTTATGCTTATGTTTCTGTATTGACAATGACATCCCAAATGTTTTAAAATGGATCAAAAACATCTGTTCAGAAATGCTTTGATAACGTATTTATCATGTTTTTCTAGGAACAAATTCCGCAACATTTTTATTAAATGAGGTATTCTGATTTTTATAAAGAATAAACAAAAATCGGTCTTTTCTGGCCGTAAAAATAAGGATGTCACAATATACAACCTCAAATCCTCCAACATGGTGATAATTCGCTTCTTCCTAGCATCAACAATTACAACATTGAAACATTCAGGCATTCCATTCTCCACAGCATCACAACATCTTCTTGGTTCAAAGTAGTCTCTTAACCATATTTTGGGGTCTTTTCCCATTAGATACTTATGAGCACTTGTGTCTATAACTTCAAGTTCTTTGATGGAAACATTAAAATCTACCCTAGTAGTTTCTTTACAAGCCTTCCAAAATATTGTTTCATATTGGGCACCACTATACATTTTTCTCTAGTATTGGCTAATATGCTTAGCACACTACTTATGCTCTACATATTGAAGGAGTTCTTTGACAGCCTCAAGCAGACACTATTAAAAATATAAATTATGTTAAATAAGTATAAAAATAGAAGGGAAATGGACAAAGAAATAAATTACATCATGTTGATCAGATATTATACTTTATACATTTCCTAAATTAAGTCCCACATCATCAATGAGTAGATCCAAAAACCACTTCTAGTTTTCCTTATTCTCCAAACACACTACAGCCCATGCAATGGGATAAAGTCCATTGTCCTACATCTCTCCTTCCACCCCTTCTTTAATGCATCAAAGAAAACATAGAACTTAATAAATTAGTTCTTTCCATTTGGCATACAATTGAAATCAAGCTTTATAGTGCTACCTGGATTTGATCTCATAATCTCTTCTACATATGACCATAACTTTGCATAATTTTCAACAAGGGTACCATCTATTAATTTTAGTGCATACTTCTTAGATCTATTGCATTGACCAATACTTACATGAATACCAAACTTCTGTGATGCAGTTGTTCTAAGCATTCTTACACATCTTTTTTCTAAGTAAGAACTCTCTCTTATATAATCACTCCCTGTCTAAGCATAAGTAATAATCGAGCCTAACTTGTAGTTCCTTGTACATTTTTGATCTAGCTTTAAAGACTTGATTTGGAAGTTTGCTTCATCACTCATCCAAGATGCCCACAACCTGAATGTGCACTGACCCTTATAACACTTAACCGACAATTTTTTTCTATCATTTTTCTCAAAGCAAAGTTGGTACCCATTGGCAACAATATAGTTGTATAACATATATTTTAATTAAGTTGGATCGTTGAATCTCATACAAAGTATTTGGTAATATTTTTTCCATGGATTTGAGTCATTAAAAATAGAATGTTGTTGAGTTACATTTGCCTCCTCTTCACACCCATCAACATCATCACCTATGTTGTTATCGTTTCCTTCTTCCTCCTCACCACATAATTCAGACAGAAACTCATCACCCTTTGTTTTGTTCATATTGACTATATCCACATTAAATTCCACCTCCACATCTCTATGGTTATTAACTTCATCTTCATTTTCACCACCATCAATGTATGAATTATCACCATGTTCTTCTTCTTCTATCTTAGAGCCAAAGTCCTCTATTCCTTTACCATCATGGTCTACATATATGTAAATTAAACCATCAGCTCCATAAGCATCAAAAATGAAAGTAGCATATTCTCCATCGTTACGAATAACAGTTAACCCTGATAATAACGACTTACGAATCTCATAGTAGTATAACTTGTTTATACTTTCTTGCATGAACCGTTCGAGAAAGGTGATACACTCAGAGTATGTGATTCCAGAAAAATCATGATCATTAAATGTGAATTTGATACCACGGTTATAAGACAAAGGATTTCGAAGAAAAACACCTTTAAAGTTGAGCTCTACTATAGGGTAAAGTCCACCAGGGTTTGGCCTCAAGATTGACATTGTCGATTGGGTGCCTGACCATTAACTCCAATTGGAGAAATGAGTTGGAATCCTATTTTTTCTCATTCATGGTCATTGATAGATGAGAAAAATGAAGAACGAAGAATGAGTGTAGTGGTATAATGTGATTATTTTGACTTTGATTTCATACGTAGATAAATTTAGGTAAAGATACTATTTAATGTAATGCCACATAAACAATACAATCGGTTGTTCTGTTTACCGGGTGCATAAGGGTGTAATTACCTGGTATTTCCTAACGTTAAGGACCAATTGAGCACAAAAATATATAAGTGACTAAATGTGCAAAGTTGCCAAACTTAGTTGTTCTGCAGTGCCAAAAACCCTATATAAAATTGTTCTAGGCCATTTTATATGTTTGAGGTAGACACATACCTTGGTGTCAAAGATAATGAAGAAGTTTATATTTTAATTTTTTACTATAAAATATTATTATTACCTATTTTATGATTAATATTATGTTTTTAGGAATGTTATATAAGACACTTAAAGACATTATCCATTCATCGGACATGCATAAACCGTTTGGAGGCAAGAAGTTAACTATGTCTAACAATTGAATCCCATTTCGTTTTCATTGAAAGCAATTCCATGTAGTTGTTTGTTTTGCTATGACTATTAACAAAAGTCAAGAATAGTCATTATCAAATGTTGGATTATACATACGTAGACCCGTCTTCACTCAGGATCAATTAAATATCATTGTTTTTCACATCACAAGTAAAAAAATCTTAAAGGTACTCATATGTGATGAGAAAGGTCGCCCAACTAATAAAATAAAAAAATATTGTCTACAAAGAGATACTTTAAGGATTCATTCATTTCATTGTTTTTTAGACATTCCTATATTACAAATAATGTTAATTCTATTTCTTTTACTTTATAATTTTTATTATTATTAATGTGCCAGTTCGTTATATATACATACATATATATATACATACATATATATATATATATATATATATATATATATATATATATATATATATATATATATAGGGCTAGGTATAGGAATTTAGTAAAATTAAATTATTTAATTAAATAAAGATAGATAGTAAATAATTTCCATAATTGTATGTATATTAAATGATATCCATAATTATAATTATGTTTTTTATGGAAACTAATTAAATTCGTAATTGATGTCGACAATAACATTATTTTAGAATGAATTCTTATTTAGGTTTTCATATATGGGTTCACGTTTTCTTTAAGGACTTACTCACTTAGAATAAAACAAAGTTGCATTGAATATGAAGAACGAGAATGAATTCTATTAAAATACACTCTTATTGTGTTAAAATATAGTCTCATTCTTCTAGAATAAACTCTAATTCTACTCGTATACACTTTTGTTCTCCATGTTCTAAACAACTTTGTTGTATTTTGAGTGAGTGGGTCATGAAACGAAATACAAACCTATACATGATAAACTAGATGCAAATTCATTATGAAAGAATATCATTGCTTGTTGAGAGCAAAACTTTGAGACACACTTAAACAAGAGTTAGAACAAGTGTAATGCGGAATAGTTAATCTCTAAGGATCTAAGAGCTCAACAATAATATTTAAGTTAGATGGTTAGGGAGTTAGTTGCGGAAAATAAAGAAATAAAAAGGACGAAAATTGTTATATCAAGTATACACGTAAGTTGCTTCACAATGAGGAATGTATTCAAGCCAAATTAGTAAGTGAGATCAAACTTAGTGATTAAGTCACAAAGACTTGCTCCGAAGAGAGATTGTAATCAACTATGAAAGTGTAAGTAATATGAGTAAGTAAGAAAGAGAGAGAAAGGATAAATCCAGAGAAGTATATTAGAAAGTGATAGATGTGTATCTATTACATAGAGAATGACCTCTATTTATAGAGACTCAAATATTACATCAGATTTGTTCTCTAAGAGTAGCCATGCAAGGCATACTGGACAATAGAGAGCATTGAAATAGGACAAAATAGATTGAATAATAAAGAGAGACTGCGGTTTGATCTGGCTTCGGCTGCGGTGGCTTTTGAGAAAGATTTGACTGCGGGTGCACAGCTGACTTCGGTAGCAAAAGTTCAAGAGGGTCACTTTTATGATTCAACAATTTCCCCCTAGGTGACCTCTTTAACTTCTGATCATCTATCAAGTTGAAAATACTTGATCAAAATCCACCAAAACTTCCTGATGTTCTCCAACCAGGTAATTCTTCTCTAAATTTCGAACTTGACCTCTGTGGTAGTGAATTTGGATTTTTCAACTACGATCCGGAAGATGTCAAGTTGCTTCTTGGTGAGATGATGCATGGCAGTTAAAGGAATGAAGTAGTTGACATTGTCGGTCTTCCTTTTGAAAATAATGCCAAGATCAGGGAAGTTGGTTGCACCCAATGATCTGTTTTCAAAGCCTTCGGTGGGCATTGGTGCGGGGTCGAGCGGTGGTAGATCAATCTTCTTAGAAATGATGGGATGGATGTTCGCATCAATCTTGGCAAAATCACAGATTGTTCCCTTCAAGAATTTGTTGGCCGTTTTGAGTGCAATCTTCATCTGCGGGTGCTTCTGTGCTTTATTCTGAAACATCTTAGCGATGAGAAAGACTTCTTCCGGATTCATACAGGGGAAATCCGCTTGGGAGCGAACATAGTCATGTCCCCTTCTGGTAAGGGTATACTGGATGAACTTTGCTTTCATGAACTTCCGAACCTTGAAGTTTATGACTGCGGATGGTCTATCGTTGGACCATATATGATCTATGGGAGAGGCATGCTTAGCAAAGAATTGACTAACTCTCTCAAACGCCATAGGCAGTCTTTTGGCATCAGGAAGGCTTCGGTCGAACTGCTCAAATAAAGTGGAGTATCTGGCATTTGGCGAGATTGGAACATCCTAGTAACCATCAGGAGGCGGTTCCGCATACGTGAGATGAGTAGTGTAATATTCATCTTACATTCGTCGGTGGGGATTGATCCAAGAGTTTATCCGAGATCCATCCATGACAGTGTCGAAGCCACATAGTCTCCAAACTTCTTCTGCAAGTTTGGATGCCTTCCAGTCTCTTTTTCTTTGGGAGGTAACAGGAGAGTCTGTTGAGCTTGGAGAAGTCATGAACTATGCAAGGTTTTTGAAGTGAGGGGAGTCTCTGGTTTTTCCGTAGTGATTTCAAATTGCGTTGGAGATTTCTGAGGTGGAGTGTGATGGGATGATTGCGGTGAAGGTTGCGGTGTAGGAACTTTTTCAGTAGGGATAGGGGGAGTTTGATGTTGTGAGACAGACTTATCAGATTGATGGTCTTCTTTCTCACTTCCCCCTCTTGAGGAGTTTAGACCTGGAGACTCCTCAAGCCATTTCCGAAGGCCATCAACTTTGGTACACACTTCTCGGAATTTAGCATTAATAGCTTCGGCTACTTGTTGATTGTTGGGAATGGAGGGATTGAAAAGTAGCTTGTGGATCGAAGTCAAAGAACGTTGCATCCTGTTGGTTGTAGAATGAAGAACAAAGATTGCAGACTCATATGCTTTGTGAGTCTCAGCAATCAGCTTTGTAGAGTTGGAGGCTTGATCCGTAACGGCTGCCTGAAGATTTGTCTTGATTGCGGTTACCTCAGAGATGAGGCGTTCAGTAGTAGCGAGAAATGCTTTGTGGTCAGCTTCACGATTATTGTCAACGGACCTGATCCCCATTTCAACTTTCAAATATATGCGCTCTGCAACCATTCTTTCACGTGCTTCCATTCGCTCAATCCTTTCAATTAGCGAGTGCGGTCCATGAATATCTTTTGTTTGTGGTTGAGTTGGCTTGACCACAGCCAGGATTTGATCGACCTTGGCTTGGAGATTTAAAAATTATTTCCTAGTCACTGCATTCTTTTTATTCTTCTTTTTGTGTTTGGAGGTTGAGTGATGAGAACCACTTGATTCTTCACCTTCATCAAACATCATCAGATCGTCATCGGAAGGAGAGGGTTTGTTTACCTCTTGAAGATCATCATCATCAAGACCGAAGGTGGGAGCAGAGCTGATTTCGATTTTGAGTCCTTCGTTTTGAGATTCTTCAACAATGGGATTCGGAGGAAATTTGGATGTATGTTGGGTAAAAGTTTCTTCATGATGATTTTGTAGAGTTTCAGCCATCTGATCCATCCAGTTTTGAGCTTTAAGAATTGTGGCTACAGTATGGGCATTGCTGATAGCATTTTCCCAATACTTAGCCATTACTTGTATTTCTCGTTGTTTCTGCTGCTGTTGCTTGACTTGTTGATCCTTGCGGGCTTGGAAAGCCTTTCGAAACGCAACATAGTTTTTGGCTTCAACATCGGTTGTAGGTTGATACTTGCTCCATGAATCTCCAGAATCGTCACCGTCAATTCCTTAAAAGCGCACCAAGGTGTCCCTTGGGTTCACGGATCCTTGCACAGTTGTGATCACCGTGCCTAAACCACCTGTTACTAATGTAAGCATAGTAGGATTTCCTGAGATTCCTTAGTCTCCTTGACCCGTGGTCAAGTCTGGCCTCGGCTCAGTTTTGGCATGGGCAGAAGAAGTGCCCTACGGTTGGTAAGGTGTTTGTAGTGTTTGGGTGACATTCAACAGGATGGAGTTCAACTCATCAGTAGAAAAAATATGCACTCAGGAGGCCCTGGAGACTTTAGGGTGAGAACCAGTATCATCTTCTTGGGATAACACTGGTGGGATTCTCCTCTTTGTTGTGAATCAGAATCACTTTCTAAGTCTGAAAGGAAAAAGATGGTAGTGTTGAGTGGATGTGCAGGCATCCCAAGGACTACCGGATTTTATTGAGAGGCTGAGGTATCGATCCGATCATGCATTTTGCTAGAAGGATCAAGTTTGCATTTCTTGAGGATTGATATTGGTTGGTTATCTTCTTCAGAAGGACTGCTAGAGTCATGATGACTTGGTTCTGCAATTGTGACTATGGGTGGGGTTTTCCTTTTCTTGGAGGGTTTGGAGGGTGCAGGTGCATCCTTTTTG